TTTCTTCTTCTTCTTCTTCTTCTTCTTCTTCGTAGCAATTTCTTGTAGAAGGAAGAAGTAGTGATTCGTATTAACTTGAAGAAATCTTATTTGTATATTCATTTTTCAAGTAGTTTCCATCGCCTTCTTCAGATCGTACTGTTTAGTGTTTTCTTTCTTTTCTTTTTCCTCATTATCCTTCCATCTCTTTTCATTCTCTTTCCTTTCCATTTCTCTTACTTTTTTTTTCTCTTTTCATTCCTTCTACTTCTCTTTCTTCATACTTTTCCATAATTATTGTAAAAATAAAATCTGCATTCTGCAAATATGGAATGTTTTTATTAATTATTAAATTATACCATTCATGCAATTATTTCATATTTAAATTATGGTTGAATTGAATTAAAGAATAATTGCAAATATTTAATTTATATATTATTTTGTAATCAAATTGTAATTAATCGAATGAAATTGTAATCAAATATTAATTGAATTCATAAAATGTTAAATTTTAACATTTCTTCCCTATTTTTTTTACTCGGTTAAATTAGAAATGTTGAATGTTAAATTGGAAATGTTAAAATGGTCAAAATTATTCGATGATATTTGAAAAAAAAAAAATTTTTTTTTCTCTTTTCAATTATAAATATAATATTATTTTATAAAGTAGTAAAAATTTTGTTGATTAGAAGCTATAATTTCAAATGATATTTCTTTTCATTTAAGTTTTGATATTATCAAGTTTTCTTTCTTTTTTTTTTTAATATTATTCATTATCAAATGTTTAAATAGCATATAATTTGTTAAATTAAAAATATTAACTCTTTTCAAATTCCTACTTTTTTTTTTACTTTGCAAAAAAAAAAAAGTCAATAATTTCTATTTATACCTGAATATGTTTTATGCATTTTTGCGCATTTGCGCCTTTTTTTTTTTTACCCTAAAAGATTTTACAAGGAGTAAAACTGTTGTTGATAATACTGAAACAATTTGCATTATTTGCATTGAGTCATTCACATTTTGCTTCATGCATAACTCTCATACGGTGGTTGGTCGGTTGGTTATCTGTTGTTTCGATGATTCTCATAACCTTCAGTTTCTGCTATTTTATTCCTTCCTTCCTTCCTTCTTTCCTTCTTCATCTGACATTCTGCTTTTTATCACTTCTCATACTTTAAAATACTCTTCATTGCGCCATCTGCCATCTATCGAAAAATGAATCGAACCTTCTCCCTTGTTTCTAACCCCCCGTTTTTCCCGTTCCTTTCTCTTCGTCCACACATGATTTTCCATTCATTCATTCATTCCAAAGTGCGAATCGTTTTCTTCCTTCTGTTTCCGAATTAACATTTCCCTACATTGGACTGTATAATTTTTCTAGCATTCCCTTCCTTATTATCAGAAAAGTACAACAATATTTTTGTTTACTTAAAATGGTTAATATTGATTATCATATTGTTATCATCAATGAATTTTTACGTTCTTCCGAAATATCATCGTTAAATTTTGTTAATTTTCATACCACCTTCTATCTAAATTTAATCTCTTTCAATAATCTTTCTTTTTTTTTTTCTTCTCGCAATTCTTTTTATATTGATGTAAGCAAATTGTGATGATGCATATTCCTCAATTTTTTTAACTAGAATTCTCGGCTTTTACAATTGTCATCGTTGTCCAATTTTATTACAACAAAATCTTTCTCAACATTATCATTTTGTCGCTCCTTTCATTCAGTCTTGATGATGACATCGAATTTTGATGTTTTAAATTCTCTTCTTTTTGAATCTTCCACTTGATTTTCCTTAAATTTTTAACTTCTTTGGCCGTAATCCGATTGCAATTGGAAAGCTCTTGCTTAGTTCATCCTTTTTCAAATTATTGTTCTATTTCTACATACTTCCTTCCCTCTTTCCTTCTTTCAATCCTTTCTTCGTATTCTCCTTCTTCAAATCCTACCAGTTCCGTGTCCGTGTCACATTTGAAACGAATGTGCTTCATTGTACGAAGACAGTGAAGCGCATTTCTCCCAAATGGTCGTCAAGAGAGAACTGAAACGTTGACTTGATGACGAATTCACACTGTCCCACTCCCACTGTTTGTCTATTCTTGTTCTGTATCCACCTTTATACATTTTATTCCGCGTTTGTTCTCTTGCAAAAGCTCTTCAAATGCATTTTTCCAGTTATCCAAAATAGAATTTACTAGACTATAAAGGTTGTTTGTTATCGAATATCTGGTAATTACATTCGATTTTATTGACCTTTTAACATCATGTAATCCTTTCGGGAATTCTTCATCATCGTTAGAAATAACGAACAACGAATCGCTACTTCAGATTCAATGTTTATTCTGTTGAAAATAGTATTGGGAAAGAGAAGTTTAGTTTATAGGAGTAACAAGTTCCTCCTACACTTCTTCCATCTGATGAATCATAATCAAAATGTTTTCTAGGAATTGACGACACAGTCATTTTTCGTTCTGCACTCATTTTAATACTCCAGCCAACTTCTCAGAATAAACTGTCACAACATGGGAAGTCATTGTTGATACTGCAAACTACCACCCATACTGCTCTATTCTGCCGTAGAGAGAACCTTCTGTTCCAAGTAGTAGGAAAAAAATGTTGCTATTGGTAGGATTATCGATCAGATACATCAATTATACGGTCTACATGAATCATGGTAGTAGAATCTCAGTGATTGACTTATGATTTGAGAGTCGACGAAATATTTCTTTAAGAAATAGAAGAGAAGATGAAGCTAAACAAGAAATGGTAGAAATAAAAATAAAAGTTGAGTAGATATGGAGGTGACGTAAAATGGGATAAAAAACCTTTTGCATACGGCAGCTTATTTTTGCGCATTTTTCTCGAGCGGTAATCTCAGCATCTTGTTGTTAAGTTTCTTAGATCCAAAATAGAATGTAGGATTTCGTTACTTTGTCACTTTTCATTATCGTTATGGTTTATCTTTGTGATGAAATGCATTGCAGTTGAATTTACTTTACCTTGGATACTTCAATATTCCATTTATCTTTCCAATTTATCAACTGTTTTATTGATAGGGTAAATAACGTGTTACATTTTACGTACGTCATGCTAACAATGTTTTATTGATAATGAATTACGACATTAGCGATATTGTGGTCACTACCATAATGATCATAATAGTAATAATAATAATAATTATTATTATTACCATTACCATTATTATTATTACTATCATTATTATTATTATTATTATTATTATTATTATTATTATTATTATTATTATTATTATTATTATTATTATTATTATTATTATCTATTATTATTATTATTATTATTA